ATCCCTGTTTCAGCCAATACATTAACTCAAGTCATTTCCCTGACATCTCCACACACGTTCATCAACAAGAGTTTGACTGGTCTCATTTGACGTTCTTTGTGTTTTCCATATAAAAATCAAAGATTACTGAAAAAATAAACAAAGAAGTCTACAATGAATGAAGTATTTATGAGTTTTTGCAAAACAAGAAGCAATAAAATGATTTAACATTTCAAACTTCATCTTATGGGGCCAGGTAGTTTGATAATGAGGGCCAGATTTGGCTCACGAGCCTTGAGTTTGACCTGTGTTGTAGAGGAAGAGTACTGGTAATATCACATTGGGATTGGCTTTTTGAGTCGGTTGTTCTGAGTTACAATATAGCTGTCATTTCTAACCCGGGCCCGAAGACGGGCCCGATCCGAATTTGGGCCGGGACAGGCCATAATAATGTGCTGGATGGGTGGGCTGGGTCAGTGTTGGGCTTTGGATTGCGTCAGCGGCTCAGCCACGATCCAATTATATGGCAACATGGCTTGCCATACCATTACCAGCCGCATGCAGCCATTTGACCGCATGCTGACCAGCCTTGAAAGAGGTACAAAAAAGTTAAATTAAGCTTCAGATGAGACTGTACTGCCAGGAAGTGATCCATCGCCCAAATGGACGTTCATTTAGCCGCTGCACTCAACGGAAGCGCGCGGCAGATGACCCAAACAGGTGAGATCCCAAATCAGACATGTCAGAGCAGGGTCCGTGTCTGAATAATGCAGAATGCAGGCAGAAGCACTTTGACGGCCATGAAAGGACAAACACCCCCTCAGCTCTGATCTTCTGCCCCCTTTACTCAGCTGCCGACCGTTAATAACTATAAGCAGTCAAAGTTTAATTAAAAATGTCCGGGGTTTTTGGGCTCGGACTTTAATTACTGTTAATCTGTCGGGTCGAGTGGAATTCGTAAATGATGGCTACGGGCTGGGGCCGAGTCGGATTGGAATTTTTGGGCCCGAATGCAACTCTAATTTACACTCCTTCCCGCTGATGGTGGTAATTCACTATAAAGTTGTTTGCTAGCCACCAAACAGCCGAGAAGAAGAAGCCGTGGGGAGTTGTGCTGAAATGAACGGCGACAAAAGTAAAGCAGACTGTATGCTCAGTGAAGTTGTCAAGAAGGGGGACAAAATGTAGCCAATCCTTTTCAAGACAAGTAATTTGATAAAACATAAAAAAAAAACAATCTTAAATTCAAAGAGTTTGCTAACAGAAGCTGGAAACGCTAAATTGTGTCGTTGAGCCGAAAAGGGTTCTGGGAATATACAGATCGGAGCTAGAGTTTCCCTTCATCCTTGCCACTCACCAATGAACAGTTTGGGAACATATTTTCCTTCAAATACTTTGTCAAATTGTATGAAATGTAATATTTGTTAATACTGTATTTGTATTGGTACAAGGCATGAGCAAATATGCACTTGTACTTTTGAACAATATCTTGTATTTGTGCATCCCTAGTGCTAACTATTTGACAGAACAACTCTTTCAAAATGACCAGACTATTACTTTGAAGGAACTACAGGTAAAGTAGACTCGGAGTATTTCATGGCAGGACGAGGAGTACGCAGGAGTTTGTGATTTTAGTGAGTTAAAAAGAGTTTCTTACTGTACACCGTATGCCTCCTGCATGGGCAAACATCCAATCACCACAAGACACATCTGCTTCTGACAGCATGTTGAATTGTTGCGGTTTTTTTTTGTCCTTTCCGTTATTAAAGTACAATTTACTCAGTGGATGAAGCACATTGGAACATAAACAGGGTATAATTCATCTTTGATTCACTGTGCAAGAATTAGTTATTTACAACCCACCCCGACCGTAAAAGTGTGCAAAACCAACCCAGTTAAAGAAAAAGACAATCGAAAATCTAAATGGCTTCCATCCAATACACGCATACATAAAGATAAAGGTCTTGTAACAATGCATCCCCTTTAGAAAGCTTCAAAACATGCTTGTCAGGCTTAAAAAAAGGAAAGAAAAATAAAATCGTAACAGTTCGGTTGTGCTCCCGTTAATTCAAGTGAGCCCAGCTCAACTGGGTGCGAAACAACTAAAAAAATACCCCACCCCCATTTCTTTTTGTTTGTTTTTACACAATCTGCTTTAAATTCAAATACAGCATCACGTCTTCCACCATTTTCACCATCAAAAAAAGCAAGAGGGTTTCAGACAAAGCAGACAAAAGTGGCTGTTTTTCTAACTACAAGCAGCATCTCTGACATTACAGGAAGTACATCATCATCATCATCATCATCCAATATTTGATCAATCTTTTCCTCCCTGTATCCACAGGGAGCATGGATTTTTGCACATTTAAGGCAGTGAGAAAGCACCAATATCGCTGTTCCCCTTTTCAGCTCTTGGCTGATGTATAAAATTGTATAAGGATGCAACTTTTTTTAATTCTTTTTGGTACCTCAGACACAAACAAATACAGATGCTGAGCAGGACACCTAATGGACTTTCAGTGGACCGTGTGCTCTGCTCAGTGGTAGATTACTTTTCATGTTTTTGTAGAAGTCCGGAGCTTTTGTGTGACTTTTTGAGATTCCCTGCTGCAGAAAACCCCATGGTTGTTCATGCAGGTTAAAGCTAATGCCACTACTGTATTTAACTAGTCCTATCATAAACCACAGGGGGTCTATTGTTGTCATGGTGTATCCTAAAGAAGCCAAGGACCGCTTAAAGTCTGCTCCCCACGTTCTGCTTCATGTTGTGATCTGAAGTCCGTGGGTGGGAACGTTTGGCAGTCAAATCAAAGGGAAACGTTGGCACTTTTTCACGTTGTCTTCACAGTAACTGGGTGACGTACAGACAGGACGCTTTTGTTGTGCTCGTCATCGTCACGAGTGGCTTGGCAGTGCCTGACACTGATTTTTAGGACAAGAGTCCAGCACCTTGTTCTTAAATCTGAGCTCAGGGCAGGAAGAGCGTCAATCACGTCGCTTCTATGAGTCTAGTTGGGCTCTAAAGGTTCAAAGATTTATCTGAAAGGCCTAACCCAGACAATTTGAAGAGAGGTTTTGTAGGAAAAATAAAGAACTCTGCCTGTTCGTTGTAGATATGGCATTTTGAACAACCTCTGTTTGGAAAAATCAAGATGAAGTTGGACAGAACTGACAGGTAAGGGTCATTTTTGCATAACCTAGTGATTTACTAAGAATTCAACACATCTATGAGGGGTGTAATGATACATGACACCATGATGGATCTGTGCAAACGTTTTGAACAGGTGCAGTGAACTGACAAAAGTACGTCACGGGGGACTGACACTCCCAGAGTGGCCCATGTTTTATTTAACTGCATCCACAACAGTAAAGACTCATTTCTATAGAACCCTCTAAAAACATGGCTGGTTCAAAGTAACCTTCAGAAGCATGAAGACCTTCCTGTTTAATTCAAATGAGCTGCGTGGGAATTTTTTTTTTATTTTTGCTGTGCCGCTAATCATGGAGAGCTGCAGTAGAGGAAGGCGAAATGGCCTCGTATGGAAAGCAGTTCTATTATATAAGCATGCTTTCAAAACGACTGTGGCATGCCAATAATATTCCTGATATTTCCACCGTACTAACAAAGCTTTCTGGTCTGCTGCTGGGAGAGTTGTATTAAAAATAGGTTCAATTGGACTTTTTTTTCCCTTCTTGTTCCATACAGGCCATGATTTAGGCGTACCGTTCCACCCCTAAAATCTAGCATTAGCACTTCCTGTACAACACGTTTCCTTTAGCTAAAATAACAATGTCAATATTTAAAACCAACTTTTAAGTAAATCTGTGTGAAATTGGAAAGATGGGAGTTGATATAATTTGACAAACGTTACTTTGAGAAGTAAATTTGAACTCCTCAATACTCATCTGGCTCATCAAAGAAGAATCAATTCCAAAAAGGATGGTTGCCCTCATAAAACTTCAGTTTTAAAATGTTCATACTCGTTCATGTAAATATTTGAACACTTAAGCCATGAGTTTTGGATGACATAGTAGCAGGAATTTGATCATTTTTCAGCACCAGTGTGAAATGTTTACAGAAGCGTTACAATTTGCTGCCGCTATATGCGTTCGCAAATAATCACAGGATATTTTGGAACTACCTAAACTGATAGAGGTGCGAAGATTTTAAAATTGAACATGTTTGAAGATGGTGACGATCCACTTTACTCCTGGCTGTGCTGGAACTAGCTGTTAGCTTGTTAGCAGTGTTGAAGTCTGTCCAAATTATTTGTCCAAACTGAGGCTGTTCAAAGAACCATCTGCAACACGTAAGATATTTACTATTTTAAACATGCATATACATACATACATATATACATATACATTATGTGTGTGTGTGTATATATATATATATATATATATATATATATATATATATATATATATACAGGAATGCTATTTCAAAAGGCTGATATCTGCCATGTTTGTTGTAATTAAGATCTAAATTAGTAAACGGCTGTAGGAAAATGGATCATTTGCTAAACTACTGGTCACTGAAATCCAATTTGAGTGACATGACCAGATTTCCATGACCTGAAAACAACCTAAACCCACTCCATCCTTCCCACTCCCTTTAATATATGAAATCAGGGTCTTAAGATGTCGTGTCGGTGGAGTGCATTGCTCAGTGACACTCGAGCAGATCAAAGGAGATTCTCCTCCTGCCACCGCTCCGTTAAGTGCATTTATAAAAGTGTGTCTGTGATAAGCACCTCTGTAAACAAAGAAGGACATAAACAAAACTTCTCCTCTCACTGTAAACATCTGATAAAACCAGGTAAAAAAAAAAGATGTTCAGTTTTGCCACTCTAAGTTCTTGGCTTTTTGGAGATGGATGTAAACATCAGAGAAACTGAAGTTCATCCTCAGAAACATCTCAATGAGAAACATAATGAAAAGTTGTATTTGTGAAACCTTAAATACATTTACTGATGCTGTTTGTTAGTAAACACGATCCGTGCTCTGTTTAACATCGCGACCACTGAGGACAGAGTTGGCGCCACTTTAAAAACATAAAATTTGATTTAATATTGCACCATCACCAAGTCAAAATAGGCTTTTTCTTTTGAATGGTTGGCATTTCCTTTCTGGGTAATGAATCATTCCATACATCAGATGTCTGTGGACTAGGGAGTAACCAGGGCCGGTTCAAAGGTCCCGGGAGGATCGGCGTCTGTCGGCGCAGCTCTTGGTCTCATAGGGCCGACTCCAGCGAGGAGTCCAGCTGGTCGTCATGGTGACTGGTGCTGTCGCTGTCGCAGCTCTGTGTGCTCGAGTAGTTGGCTGCTTCCTGCAGCCGCAGCAGCATGTTCATCTGTGAACAAGAATCAGCAAGATGTTAACTAACGGAGACCGTGGATGGAAAACTCAATGCAGATAAAGATTATAATTATTATTATTATTATTATTATTGTTGTTTATTTACACGTGAATGATTTATGGTTGAGTGTTGTTAACATCTGGCTGCACAGAAGAGGTTCAACATGGATGTTTTTTCAGTTACAGTATTTTTCCACCCTTTTCTGAGTATTGTTAGCTTACCTGACCCATTCGTCTGTTAGCCTGAGCTTAATTAAAACACTAACAACAAACATATTAGAAAACAAAAGTCCTAAAGAAATGTCATTTCCAGAGAAAATACAGTTATTGCTGAATGATTTTTGCTGAAAAGTCCGCTAGCTGCTGATGTGAGTTGAATTTAAACATCTGATCTTTGGAAAATAAAAGTGGAAAGCAGAAGAAAAACAGTAGAAATGTGTAGAAACAAAACAGAATTGTAGCATAAACAAGCAAAATAAAATGAATTAGGCAGAAAAAGGTTGAAAGATTACAAAAAAATTGCATAAAGAAACTGAAATGAGCAGAAATAGGATGAAAGGAGCATAAAAAGTTGAAACTATTAGAAGCATAAAATACCTAAAGAAAAAAAAAAATTTTAATAGAAGAAAGGCTAAAATTATAAAACAGTATACCCAAGAAGAAGCTGAAAATGTAAAAAAAAGCTGAAAAAATGCTGAAATGAGCTGAAAAGTTTTTAAACAGCGCAGACTTTGAAGGATGTCTAGAGAGCTCCATTCATTGTTAAAAAGGAAAAACATGGCCGAAAAAGCTAAATATTTAAAAAAGTTAAAGTTGCATAAATGCCAACAGTCCAAGCAGGAGCGTCCTGAAGGAGCTGAACGTTTTGATACATGAATAGTTGAAATAGAACAAAAATTGTGGAACAAGTTACGTACCAAAAAATGTATAAAAAAAAGGATCTCAACAGTGAGAATGATTTATATTCACACTGTTAGGAAAATGAATACTTTTTTAAAATCCTGCATGAATTGACTCTATTGAAGACCTAATGTGGCTGTTGTATCCACTTTCTGTTTTCTCGTACAGCCTACACACGGGACACTGAACTCATAGTCCTGGTGTGATATGTGGAGACGGCCCAGGTAGCCAGTACCACCTGACTGCAGGTGCCACGGGGCTCCATAATGTGGGGTGCACAACAGAATGGTCCTCCCTTGATGTGATCCGTCTTGTGGAAGTGGAACCTTCATTACAGTATCAGTACAGCCCCTCTTTTCCACGGGCGTGGCTTTACTCAGCTCTCATCGACCAAATGTGTCTCCACAGTTCCTGCTTGGTGCTTGGAACTGCCTCAGCTGTGGTTCCAAACGAGCTGAACAAGAGATTTTGGCATCAGCCAACTACAACCGCTGACTGGTCCGTAGATTGACGTCACTGTATGAGCCAAGGCGGTACTCGCAAACTCCTCCTAAAGCGCCATTTTCAGTCCGATCGTTGAGTGTGCGTGTACGTTGCGGAGATGGAAAGCTGCAAGTAACACCTCATCATTCCATGGTCGAATGATGAGGTGCAAACCTTTTTATCAATTTTGTCAGACGAGTGCGTATAGCGTGAGCACAGAGCAACGAGCGAGTTTACAGGGAAGAAACCGACCACCCACGGCTACACTCGCACTTACGAACAGTGCCGTGACACATTTAAAAAAATGAAGTCTGACTACTGGACGATAAAGCATCACAACGGGACCAGAGCTCCCGCCCGCCCACGATCCTGCGCAGTGAGTGAGGGACACACTCAATGGAGATACACCCACACGTGAGTAGAATCCAATAGAAATGAAGCGATTAGAGATTAAACAATGGAGAAGCAGCTTACGTCTGCAGAAACTACAAGGGCGGCTGTTACTGAGTGGTTAGAGCTGTCGTCCTCCAATGAAAGAGTTGGGGGTTCAAATCCACCAGCAGTTGCATGTTGAATTGTCCCTGGGCAAGACAATGAACCCGTCATGGCCTCTGATGTGTGTCCCAACGATGTATGAATGTGATAAAACTCTGATAATTCTTTGTAGAGATCTAGTAGAGTGCTGTATGAATGGGTAAATGAGGACACAGCCTGTGTTGTAAAGAGCTTTGAGTGTCTTGATCAGATAGAAAGGCGCTCTGACTTTTTGGCTGATATCACACAGAGATACACTCACTTTTTGCTTATTGGTGACTTTAATTTGCATGTGTGTTGTCAGGAGAAGCCCTTAGTGAAGGACTTTCTAGATTTATTGGACTCTTTTGGCTTAGCTCAGCAGGTGAGCGGCCCCACCCAGGAACATGGTCACACGCTGGACCTCGTTTTAACACGCGATGTCTCTGTTTCTAATTTGAAAATCGGTGACAATGTTTTTTCAGATCACATGCCTGTATTGTTTGACTTCACCCCCCCTTGTCCTACTGCTAAGACGTGCGTTCCTGCACGTACGCGTTCCATTAACTGTTTCACTGCTGCTTGTTTTAATGAAGGTTTTAACTCTGAGAGGATCGAACAGCTCTCAGTGTCTCTTACCACTGAGAAGCTAACCTCTCAGTTCAACTCTGCCTGTTTAGATGTTCTGGACCGTGTTGCTCCCCTTAAGACCAGAAAAACAAAACTTAAATCAGAGCCTTGGCTGAATGACGTCACACGAGCCGTTAGGCGGCAGTGTCGCAGAGCTGAACGAAAGTGGAGGAAGGACAGGCTCCAGGTGTCTTTTCAAATGTTAAGGGAGAGTTGGCGTCACTATCAGAAAACCGTTAAAGCTGCCAAATGTAAATTCTTTTCTGATTTAATTGTCTCCAACTCCCACAACCCCCGAGTTCTTTTCTCCACCCTGAACTCAGTTCTACGCCTCAGTGAGCCTTCACCTCTGGAAGCCTCAACTGAGCTGTGTGAAAACTTCCTCCATTTCTTTTTAGAAAAAGTGGCAAACACCCGGGCACTCATTTCTCCACCAGCTCATGATCTGTCCATCCCATCTCAGTGTGTGGCTGTGTTTGACCACTTTGAGCCCATCTCTCTGTCCTCTCTGGAGCAGGTAATGTGCAGCATGAAACCATCTGGTTCCCCCTTTGATGTGGTCCCCCCTCGACTACTAAAGGAAGTTTTTCCTACCCTGGGTCCTTTTATTCTCGCTATTCTGAATAGCAGTTTATCCTCAGGTGTGGTGCCAAAAACTTTTAAACATGCTGCTGTCCAGCCCCTCCTGAAAAAACCTAACCTTGACCCCTCAGTCATGTCCAACTTCCGGCCTGTCTCCAGACTCCCATTCACCTCTAAACTACTGGAAAAAATTGTGGAGTCTCAGTTGAAACAGTTTTTGGGGGATCACGCTATCCTTGAGTTATTCCAATCTGGCTTCAAATCTCTCCATAGCACTGAAACTGCTCTACTGAAGATTTTTAATGACATTTTCATATCCACAGACGCAGGTGATTCTGTGCTGCTTGTCCTATTGGACCTTACATCTGCTTTTGACACCATCAACCACAACATCCTCATTTCTAGACTGGAGCAGTGGGTGGGCATCACAGGGTCAGCCCTTAAATGGTTTGGGTCCTACCTCTCTGACAGAACCTTCTGTGTCAATATCAAAGATTTTAGTTCGGCATCGACAGCGCTCCAGTGGGGGGTACCGCAAGGGTCCATCCTCGGTCCCCTTCTCTTTTCTTTATACCTGCTGCCACTAGGTGCTATCTTCCGCAAACACGACATACCCTTTCATTTCTATGCCGATGATTGCCAAATTTACTTCCCCCTGAGGCACAGAGGCACACGCTCTATTCAGCCTCTTCTTGACTGCCTGGCTGACATCCGGGACTGGATGGCTTTAAACTTCTTAAGCTTCAATGAGAAGAAGTCTGAAGTCATGCTGTTCCATCCCAGTGGCTCACTTATGAACCATGACATTGACCTTTTCTCTCTAGCCCCGCTAGAGAAACAAAAGGTCACTAATCTGGGGGTGATAATGGACCCGTCCTTAAAACTCAACAGTCACGTAAACATGATGGTCAAATCCTGTTTTTTTCAGCTGAGACGGCTGTCTAAGCTGAAGCCTATACTCTCCTAAAAGAACCTTGAGACAGTGATCCACGCCTTCATAACATCAAGGCTTGATTACTGCAATTCACTTCTGTTTGGAATCAGTCAGTCCTCCATTGCTCGTCTACAACTGGTCCAAAATGCTGCAGCCCGATTTTTAACTGGTACAGGCTATAGAGAGCACATCACGCCAGTTTTGGCCTCCCTGCACTGGCTACCCATTCACCTTCGGATCCATTTCAAAATTCTCATGTATGTTTTTAAATCACTGAACAGTTCCGCCCCATCCTATCTCACTGATCTTCTGCAGCCATATGTCCCACCGCGCTCTCTGAGGTCAGCAGACCAGATGCTTCTCTCAGTCCCAGAAACCCGTCGTAAGCTCAGAGGTGACAGGGCTTTCTCTGTTGCAGGTCCACGACTGTGGAATGAGTTGCCACTGAGTGTCCGGCAGGCTCCCACATTCTCAGTCTTTAAGTCTCGCTTGAAGACCCACTTCTATTCGCTTGCCTTTAACACGGTGTGATTTGTTTTGGTCCGGTCTGTTCTCTACTCTGTTGGCCATTTTAGTTAGCTTCTGCTGCTATTTGTATCTGTATTTCTATTTTGTTTTCCTCTCCGCTGTGCATGTTTGGTTCTTTTGTACAGCACTTTGGTTGGCCTTGTTGCTGTTTTAAGTGCTATATAAATAAATTGGTATGGTATGGTATATAAGTACCGTCCATTCCATTTAAACTGTGATCGACCCATTGATTCAAACATCCAGTCAATGTGAGTTCCTTTGCTGGGAAAATGCACAGTATGACCACTGTACTACGAAACAGCAATCTTGTGTTTTTTTCATTTGTCCAGAATTTCTTACATTAAACCCGAAGCACAGAGTTTAGAGCAAAACAATATCTTGTTTGGATCAAGGCCAGACGTGGCTCATTGACAGTCATCCTTGCACCAAGGGAGTGGTAGGTTTGATTCCTAGCAATATGCAGTCACATGTGGAGGTATCCCTGGGCTAGGCTACACGAGGGCACAGGTTGTGTTGTAAAGCACTTTGAGTAGCCTGGTTGACTAGAAAGGTGCTATATAAGCACAGCCCACTCACCATTTATCCACCAGCTTTTAGTTAGATACCTGAACGTAACTGGTGGCAACCACAAGAAAACGTGATGACTGAACAGTCATAAAACAAAGAGAAGCGGGCTAACGTAAGCTTAGCATTTCAGCTAACTCATCCACATAACACTAGCAGGAGATGCGAGTTTGGTATAATCTTTGTAACTTAATGAATGGAATAAGATATTCCACTATAAAAATATAGTTTAGGTAAAAAGTTGTTTTGTCAGAAAATTATTAGTCTCAGTGATGATGAAAGTTGTTCACCAAAACTTTCCGTGAAATAAAAAACAAGTCAACAAAACAACATCCTCCTCATGAGCTAATAAAATATCACACAATTATAATCCGCCAGTTTTACACCACACTTTAAGAACTATAACAGTGAGATTTTTAGGTTCAAACCAACCATAAACCAGTTTTATTCTCCCCCACAGATTATTTGTTTACATAAAAAACATGAAAAACAACAAAATTTTTTAAAACACTGAACTGTGTTTTAAATATACAGGTGCTGGTCATAAAATTAGAATATTACTTAAGACCAATAAAAAAAAGATTTTTAGAAATATTGGACAACTGAAAAGTATGAACATGAAAAGTATGAGCATGTACAGCATCAGTACTTAGTTGTTGCTCCTTTTGTCTGTATTACTGCAACAATGCGGCGTGGCATGGAGTCCATCAGTCTGTGGCACTGCTCAGGTGTTATGAGAGTCCAGGTTGCTCTGATAGTGGCCTTCAGCTCTTCTAGATTGTTGGCTCTGGTGTATCACATCTTCCTCTTCACAATACCCCCATATATTTTCTATGTAGTTAAGGTCAAGCAAGTTTGCTGGCCAATTAAGAACAGGGGATGCCATGGTCCTTAAATCAGGTACTGGTAGTTTTAGCACTGTATGCAGATGCCAGGTCCTGTTGGAAAATGAAATCTGCATCTCCATAAAGTTGGTCAGCAGCAGGAAGCATGACGTGCTCTAAACCTTCCTGGTAAACGGCTGTGTTAACCTTGGACCTCAGAAAACACAGTAGACCAACACCAGCAGATGACATGGCACCCCAAACATCACTGACTGTGGAAACTTGACACTGGACCTAAAGCAACGTGGATTCTGTTCCTCTCCTCTCTTCGTCCAGACTCTGGGACAATGATTTCCAAAGGAAATGCAAAATTTACTTCCCATCAAAGAATGTAACTTTGGACCACTCAGCAGCAGTCACAGGCGAGACACTTATGACGTCTCTTGTTCATGAGTGGCTTGACACAAGAAATGCGACAGCTGAAACCCTTGTCTCGCATACTTCTGTGCGTGGTGGTTCTTGAAGCACTGACTCCAGCTGCAGTCCACTCTTTGTGAATCTTCCCCACATTTTGGAATGGGTTTTGTTTCACCATCCTCTCCAGGGTGCGGTTATCAACTGTCAAGTCAGCAGTCTTCCCCATGATTGTGTACCTACAGAACTAGACTGAGAGACCATTTAAATGCCTTTGCAGGTGTTCTGAGTAAATTAGCTGATTCGAGTGTGGCGCCAGGTGTCTTCAATATCGAACCTTTTCACAATATTCTAATTTTCTGAGATACTGAATTTGGGGTTTTCATTAGTTGTCAGTTATAATCATCAACATTAAAAGAAATAAACATACGTCTGTGTGTAATTAATTAATATAATATACAAGCTTCACTTTTTGAACGGAATTACTAAAATAAATAAACTTTTTCATGATATTCTAATTTTATGACCAGCACCTGGAAATGACTGACAGATTTTTAAGCACCTTATAAATGGAAATGGACTGTACTTATATAGCGCCTTTATATCTTATTGAGATACTCAAAGCGCTTTACACTACAATCTGTGCCTCATTTACCCATTCATACAGCACTCTACTAGATCTCTACAAAGATAATTGAACAAATCATTCTAAAGAGACTAATCAGAGCTTTAGATCACATTCAAACACCGATGGGACACACATCAAAGGCAACAAGGGGTTCAGTGTCTTGCCCAGGGACACTTTGGCATGTGACTGCTGGTGGATTCGAACCCCCAACTCTTGTATTGGAGGACGACTGCTCTAACCACTCAGCCACAGCCGCCCATAAATTACCTTATGACAGTAATAAATGTTCGGCTGATCAAAAACAGTTTTCGCTTTAATTTTTTCTTTTAATTGTTGATATTTTAGTGTTTAACAGTTAAAATGTGATGAATTTACTATCCAGTAAGGGACGTTTTAAATGAACAACTATGGCTACATAATAAAACATGGAAAAATAAAAAAATATGATATTTCTGTCTCATACATCTCCAAACCATCCTCTGCGTCCGCTGATTTTCACTCACTGTTCTGACTGTCGAGCGCTCCAGCAACTGTCTGATAACACTACCGCTCCACCCTGAGGCTACCATGTAAGACTTCTGGTTTGAACACATCGGCTCCTTGCATCACTGTCCCTTGAGTCATTTAGGAATCCGCTGCTGGTCTGCATGTGAACCAAACTGGACTGTTTATATTTTTTAGGATTCTACAGTTTGATGGTTTTGTAGAAAAGTTTACTTAATAAACTGGTCAGAGAACCAGAAGTTATACAAGTACATTTCCAAAAGCACTTAGCTAATACTTTTAGTAGTTTTCGGCCAAAAACGACAGTTCAGGCTGACATTATACATGTACTATTACAAGCAGTAATCAGAGTACCATGTTTTTACTTTTTTTTTTAAGTCATTGTAAGCCCTTATCGAGTAAATTTAGCTATGCTCATATTTTAAGACTAAAAATTCAAATTTTCTACAAATCGTGTGTGTAAGGCTCACACATGCTGTCCCTGTTATTTGTTTCATGCATAACCACTTTTTAAATGTTGCACTAAATCATCCCCTCTACAAAGCTAATGGTCCAAATGATGCAGAGGAGCTGCTGCATCTGGTAAATCGCTTCAAGTGAAGGTAAAATGAGCTTTGGGACACCTGCACAACACACACACACACAAATGCACAATCACACACAATCTAACTAAATCAAGCTAGTGGTTTTATAGTCGGCTAATCTTTAATTCCTCTTCGGCTGCAATGAGCCGTCAAATGGAAATAATTTTTTGCCCTTTTTCTCCCTGTCATACTAGAATAATTCATCTTTTAGTGTGTGAATATGAATGGGCGGGGTCATCCCACAGATGTTCTTACCAGTGGGTCTCCCTCTGTGTCACTCTGGGACACCTGCTTGGACGACGCCCCTTCCTTGGACGAGCTGTAGCCGTCATATCCCACGTCCTCCGGCCTCAGCTGAAGCAACGACTGGCCTTCCTGCTGCAGTGAGGCGGCGTTCCACGGGTATGTTTCGTTCACCCACTTGGACGGATCCTCCCACACCGCTCTCTTACCGTAAAGCTGCAGAGATGATCAAAACGGGAGTACTAAAATCAGAAGGTGCTGAGTGTAATGTCAAAAAAAATCTGTTGTTTGAGAATTCATAAAGATAAGGCTCAAGGTTCTATAAATGTTAGTGATGCTGATCAAGTGCGTTGGTTTTGGCAAATCATACAAAGCGCACTGATTGGGGGGAGTGGTGGCACAGAGGTTAGAGAAGGTGAGTCTGTGATCGGAAGGTCGCCAATTTGACCCTCCAGACTGGCAACATGAAAATTGTAGGTGGGAAAGGTGAACTGCCTCCACCCTCATTTGCCCCACTCTGGGTCCTTGAGCAAGGCCCTTAACCCCCGCCATCTGCTCCTCCAGGTGCCATAGCATAGCATCTCTCTGCTCCACACAGAGAGCTGTGGTAGCTCGATGGTCTGTGGTTGCATCAGAAAGGACAAACAAACTGGCATGTCTTCGTGCAACTTAGTTCGCTGTGGTGACCTCTGAAGAAGGGGGCAGCCGAAATAATTAAAAATAAAATAAAATAGTTGTATAAACAGAACTGGATGCTTGAAGCTGAAACATTGCAGTACAAATACTCCCTAGAGGCTTGTTGCAGTTCAATTTTTAAGTTCCCCACATTGTAAATAGGGATTTTATGAAAATAAAAATACTCTTTAAATCATTTTTTTGAGGTGATTCTTTTTGTGGTTCCACATAATTTCTACCTTGCCGCTGCATGTTCGAATATTCAATTAAATTCAAAAATACATTATTAATCCCAAAGGGAAATTAATTGTTGTTAGAGCTCATCGTCCTGGTTTCATTAGAGTTGTTATAGATGCGGATGGTTTTGGGCAGGAAGGATTTCTTGTAGCAGTCCGTCCCACAGCAGGTCCGAAGAAACTGGCCGCAGATGCCGATCCGTCCACCCAGACCCTGCAGACCTCTTGTCCTCTTGGGCAGCAGGACTACCTAAATGCTAGCAGAACTCTTCCCCGAGCAATGGCCATGTCTTGCAGCAGCTTGCCGAGCCCTCGTCGCTGCAGACTTAATTGCAGGTACCAGGGGACAATCTTGGTCCTCCCGCTGTTTTAAGCTGTGGTCAGGCACTCGAGCAGAGCCTCCAGATAGACAGTAATGCATCCACAGCACCTCTTTTTCAACTCATTTGGGATTTGGCGCTGTAGTTGAGGTCTTATTTGGGCTTTTGAGATGTTAATCAGCTGCTCCCAGTTGTAGAAAACCACCTTGCTGTTATGGTTATGCATCATAAGAAATGTCCAAATGTAAAAAAGGTTTCATTAAAAATCCTTCCAGTGGCACAGCATCTGATACCAGAGGAAGTAATCATCCGAAAAAAGCGATTTACATCCAGAAAAATTTGTAATTAGTTTTCACAAGCAAAATCTCAGAAAGAATGTAAGAGAGCTACTCGAACATGCAGCCTCCTTGAGTGGTGCAATTCTGGAATATGCATTTTTTTAAGTAAAATTAATTTTCTGAGGCTTAAAAAGTGTAATGTTGCAATGTGGCAACTGGTTAGAGAGCATCAACATTAATTCAAGCTGGACACCATGTGGGATCCCAAAAGCTGAAATCGGAAAAACAAGTTCCCATTTGGTCCCAGTACAAGTTTAAGTCCTTCCTCCTTTCATAAAAAGACTTTGCCCTTATAAAAAATAAAATAAAATAAAAAATAAAATAAAAAACTCAACCCCCCCCCCCCATAATGTATTTATTTATTTTTTACATGTGTTGACTCTTGTTGATATATTTAGTTCTTACCTTGCTGCTGCTATATGGCCAAATATGTATCTTTCCAATAGTGATCCCCCACCTATCATGGGGTTACATTCCAGAGACCCTGCGATAGGGGAACATCCCTGAAGTAGCGGCATTTTATATGTATGTATATAAATATAAATATAAATATATATATATATAAAAGAGAGTTATATAAGAGATACTAGAGTTTTATTGTATTTTTTTAAGGCTTTATAAACCCTTCCCACATTCCCACAAACCTTTTCCACTCTTAGGTTTCCCCTTTGCGCACAACACTGAAAACTTTAGCCCCGCCCCTCGTCTGTATAGACTGCACTGAGACAGGCAATCGGCTCCCAAATACTGTTTTTCTTCAGCCATTCAGGAGCCAGTGAGGCCCAGATCTTAAAGGGCTGCACCAATACTCATGGAATCTGGGGTTACAATACGTAACTAACTTCCATGTCGTATAGGCTCCACCCTTTAAGGCTATCGCTAGTGGGTTAAAGGTGAAGCAGGATGTAGTCTATGTCTCACTGGGTCCGTTCAGTACCTCAATCATACAGATATCTGCTTACACTCTTTGAAACTATCCATATTGAGCCTTCAAACCTCGCGTAATTATGTGCCACTGAATCTGTGCGCCTGAGGTGCGCTGATCAGCAGAGAGCGAAATGATCTCTGCATCAGACTGAATTGTCAAACCCTGCTGCTGTGATAATAGGCAGAATGGAGAGCTCACTACTCTGACAAAACTCCGAGGACAGAGTGAGTCAGGGAGAAACTGGAGACATCATGCAGATAAAAACGGATGCATGAGCACGGAGAAGCCCAGGAAGCTGCGGTGTAGATGTCCTGCACTGACACTCCTCCATGCAGAGCTGTGGAGGATTCGTTTCCTCAGGTGGAGTGAGCTGTGAGCCCCTTTGGAGGCTGAGATCCAGAGGAAATATACACATGTGAAATAGCCTCACACAGCCAGAGTGACCGACGCTGAGCAGACAGAGGAAGTCCTTCAGACTGATCTGAACGTAGCAGGAGAGCGCACGCACAGTGCAGAGGAGATGAGAGGTGGCTTCCTCCTCCACTTGCACAAGCGGTAGTGGCGTATAGTACGTACCTCAAAATCCTGCGGCATAGCAAAAACTCTGTGATACAGAATTATATATATTTTTAAAAACCTGTAATACAGTGAAGCTGCGATAAGTGAACCGCGATATAGCGAGGGACAACAGTACATTCAGCTGCAAATCATGCCTAAAGGGCGTTCATGTAGCACCATGATTTTGTGCCTGGAAGTAGGCGGGACTTAAAGCTCCACATCCCAAGTGCAGACTCTGGTTACAAAATGTTAACATGGCAGCTCCCAAAAATGGAGGTTGGGGCTTCAACTATGGCTGACAGATATTAGTGAGTTACTTTGTTCATTGTTTATGTTTGTGGGGATATAAGCAGTTTTATTACCAAAAAGTGCAAAAGTGTAAACTAAATGCTGTTTGCTAAAATTTTTGAGCACATGTTGATGCATCATAACACACATCAGCAGGAAGTACCTGTAGACCTTCTCTGACAGCCTCCAGCAGGTAGGGCACCAGAGAGTAGTTCCACAAGTCAGTGAACCAGACCCGAGAACCTTCTACATCCATGGGACAGGACAGAAAGAGACGGGGACCTGTGGACAGGGCATTGATGATGAGAAAAACCTAAAATAAAGACAAGAACATTGAATTTGAGCAACACTGACCTATAGTGACATCAGAGGAGCTGTGCGCCTCCAGGAAGCTGTTGAGGTGCTGCCAGGTTTTGGGGATCCAGTCGATGATTTTAATCAGGTCGTTGCTGCGCATGTTCTTGTCTATCTCGGTCTCTATCAGTTTCCGGCGCAGGAAGCGACCCAGAAAACCTTTGACCGGCTCTGTGTGGTTGGTGCATAGCACCCATCTAAGGCAGAACAGACAGTTGGAGGTGAAACCAAAGAAGAATTAAATTACCGCCTCATCAAAACTATTTGTTTCTCCATTGATTTGGTGACAAATGTGACCTTTGATAAGAGTCAAAAGACTTGTGGCCAGTTTAACACAACTATATAAGAACATCAAACCAATGTCTAGCTCATAAAATCACCCTTTATTAATCAAATTGTATGAGTCAAATCATCTACCAGTCAGGCACAAATTATCCACACTCAGAATGCGCCTCACAGCTTATTAATTTTCATTTTCTCATGCTAATTATACAAAAGACATGATTACAGGACTCACTGTGAAATATATCTTTAATTTATCTGTGAGCTGAACATGGACAGTAAAAAACCATTAATATTAAATGAAGTTTCCAACAGGCGAATTAGTGTGAAGAAAAGACATTCACTTATTAACTAGATAAATTGCATTTCCTGCCAAAATCCTTATTGATGAACTGAAAAGTGGCTGAAAAAGCTGACATCAGCAGAAAACGAGCTGAAAGGAGCATAAAGAATTTGAAATTATGAGAAAGTAAAACAAAATGTCAAAATTGGCAAAAAATAACTAATTCTGGAAAAAAGTCAGAATTCTGACATTAAAGTCAGAAGATAATTAATTAATACTAATTAAGACACTTTGTGACTAAACTGAAACAAAAGAAATGTGCGATTCTGAATGAAAACGTATATTTTCTAGCATTTTTGACTCTCGAACTAGTCACATCCCAGTAATATAAAGATGAAACAAACCAACAAGCTTCTTAGGTCCCATCTACACTGTCTAGAGATATTTCTTTCTGCTTAGAGCTTCTTTTCTCCATCCACACATTCTAGCTAAATACCATGCTGTGCCACTAGGGGGCGAAAATGTACACATTAACAAATCATCAATATCCATCCATCCATCCAGCCATCCGTCCATATTCTTTCACCGCTTCTTCCTTTTTGGGCCACGGGGGTCACTGGTGCCCCTATCCAGCAGTCACCTTGCGAGAGGTGGGTGGAACCCTGGACAGGTCTCCAGTCCATCACAGGGACACATAGAGACAAACGACTCAAAAACAACCATTCACTCTCTCACTCACACCTAGAGACAATTTAGAGTTACCAATCAGTCTAACATGCATGTTTTTGGTCTGTGGGAGGAAACTGGAGTACCCGGAGAAAACCCATGCAGCACAAAGAGAACATGCAAACTCTACCAGAGTGGTGGCGCAAAGGTTAGAGAGGGTGGGCCTGTGATCAGAGGGTCGCCTTTCAAACCCCGGTTCAAGCCCCTGGACCGACAACATCAAAATGTGGGTGGAAAAGGTGAAACATCCACACCTGCCTCCACCCTCATTTGCCCCACCCTGGGCCCATGAGCAAGGCCCTTAGCCCCCTCACACACACACACCCTTAGATGCTTCCCAGGCACCTTAGATGGCAGCCCACTGCTTCCCACGTGTGCTCACATGTGCAATGGGGAAAATGCAGAGAATTTATTTCCCCATTGGGGATTAATACAGAACAATTAAAAAAAAGGCCCTCCTGCTAGGATTCTCTCTGACAACCTTCTCGCTGAGAGGCAACGGCTCTACCAACTGAGCCACCGTGTCGCCTTTCATCAGTATACAAAGAAAATTAATTTCTTGGCTAAAGGTTTTCGTTTTGTTTTTTCTTTTATACTGATATCAGTTTCCTAAGCTGTCAAACTGGTACACATATTTTTGCCAGCATTGTTTATAATCCTATAAACAAATGAACACACTTATAAAAGACTTGGGTCATCAGTTTGTTTCTCCTTTACTAATTTGCAGTGAAAAGTAGTTTTCGACCAGGGGCGGCCAGGTTTTTGCAGTGCATTGTAAGTTTAGTAAGGGAAAAAGTCAAACCTGAAGTTGTGGTGCAGCTCCAGGTTCGGAGAAGAGGAAACTCCTTGGCTCATGGTCCCAATAACATAAGGGCTGAACAGAGAGAAACGACAGCACGTTTAACTACAGGACGACAGGGCTGTACTGTTTTAGTGAACAATCCTCAGCTGTTTGCTCTTTATTTCTATAAATCTGTTTTCCTTCATTCAAATGGTAAATGGACTGTACTTATATAGCACCTTTCTATCTTATTTCAAGACACTCAAAGCGCTTTACACTACAATCTGTGTCCTCATTTACTCATTCATACAGCACTCTACTAGATCTCTACAAAGCTAATTGAACAAATCATTCTAAAGAGACCAATCAGAGATTTATCACATTCAAACACTGATGGGACACACATCAGAGGCTATGAGGGTTTCAGTGTCTTGCCCAGGAACACTTTGACATGTGACTGCTGGTGGATTCGAACCCCCAACTCTCGCATTGGAGGACGACTGCTCTAACCACTTAGCTACAGCTGCCCCAAATCTGGGTTATAAAAAATTGTACTGTGCTGCTGATCTTAGAGTTAGACTCTGACCACCAAACCTGGGAACAACAGAGCAACCTGTCCCTTTGAGGCAATTGTTGTTACAGGAGAAAAGCTCAGACTCACCATTTGTGGTACTTGCAGTTGAGGAAGCCGTTGAATATGTCACTGAGAGAGCCAATGTGGTGCAGGTTGTCTAGGATGACCACAGTGGGGAGCTCAGAGTCTGTCCTCTCAGAATTACACCGCTCTGCCAGGGTGGACAGGTACTGCCGCAGATCCTGTGGGTTCAGAATGTCTCAGTGCAAATTCTGAATGCCATATTTTGACCAAAAAGAAAAGTAGTCTCTAGTGTATGAAAGAACTCTTTGGGGGCACCTGACAATTTTCAAAATTCAATTTTGACTGATATGCATTAGTCTAAGGATCAACTGATCACTGTGAGGATCAGCACCTCCAAATCTGAGGTCATGGTCCTCAGTCAGAAAAGGGTGGATTGCTCTCTTCAGGTTGAGCGTGAGGATGAAATGGGGAGTTCAAGTATCTTGAGGTTTTGTTCATGAGTGAGGAAAGAATGGAGTGTAAGATTGATGGGTGGATTGGTGTAACATCTGCAGTATTGTGAACTCTGTGCCGGTCTGCTGTGGTGAAGAGGGAGCTGAGCTGTAAGGTGAAGCTCTCTGTTTACTGGTTGGTCTACGTTCCTACCCTCCTCTATGGTCAAGAACTCTGGGTAGTGTCCGAAAGAATGAGATCGTGGATACAGGTGATGGAAATGAGTTTCCTTTGCAGGGTAGCTGGACTCTCCCTTAGAGATAGGGTGAGAAGATCAGTTATCGGGAGAGAATCAGAGTAGAACTGCTACTCCTCCACATCAAGAGGAGCCAGTTGAGGTGGTTCGGGCATCTCGTAAGGATGCTTCCTGGACACCTCCCTAGGGAGTTGCTTTGGGCATGTCCAAAGGGGCAGAGTCCCCAGGGAAGACCCAGGACACGCTGGAGGAACTTTGTCTCTTGGTTGACTTGGAATCCTCCAAGAAGAGCTAGAAAAGATAGTCATGGAAAGAGATGTCTGGGCATTCCTGCCCAAACTGCTGCCTCCGTGATCCAACTCCAGAACAAGCAGAAGATGATGGATGGATGGATGGATGGATGGATGGATAGATGGGTTTGCCATCCTATGGGCCCACCACCTGCAGGAAGGGCCATACGAGTTGGGTGATGACACAATGGGCGGTAACTAAAGGCAGGGATCTTGGTAAGCTGACACTGGCTTAGTAAAGCTGGCTCTTGAGACAAGGAATGTCACCTCCCTGGTGGGGAAGGAGCCTGAGCATGCCGTTGAAAGGTACCAACTAGATATAGTCGGGCTCAGATTTATGCCTATAACCTGACGGATATACTGTTCTACTTTATAGCTCCTCAAAGATGTACTCGTGCTTTGAACTCCGAACTGCACAGTAATGAATAAAACATCAAGTTTAGGTAAAGTAGAGCTAGGGGGATGTGTTTCCTCAGTCACACAAGGGGGAAAACAGCCAAAATGTTACATAATACTTCAAAAATTATTTTATACAAAGAGAACATGGACAGTTTCATTGTCTTGATACAAAGGTTTGAGGGTTAATTCTGTGCACTGCAGTCTATGACTTTCTTCTCAATGAGAATCTTGCAGTTGCCTTACCTTGCTGGAGTTCTGGTCCACATTGAAGCGGGCCACACTGTGCTCAGTCAGCTTCTTCCCCATCTGTGAAATGATGTACTCTGCCAGCTTGGCAGCCAGGAAAGATTTTCCTGTGCCGCTGGGTCCTGAGAAGATGATCCGACGATGTTCCATCAATAGGTTGAGGTACCTCTGGATTATGGGCTTTGGAATGAGTGTGTCAAACACAAGGCTGTCGATGCTGTTCTCCTTCACACCTATGATGAAGGAGGAGAGAAAAGGTCCATTTATTTAGCTGCTGGATTCATACACAAGGAGTGTCAGAAAATTAACAGGACTTGACGGGTTGTGAGGTAAGCGGGTTGCATACAATGTGATGCAAGATACATGGAGTATATACAGTAACTGCAATCAGAGCTTTCTGCAGCCACTGTATGTTTTGACACATAGTGTTAACAGCTCCTTAACTGAAGGCCATCAAGTGATGGGTGCAGAGTACCAAACTAATCCAAATTTTCCGATCTGGTTGGACAAAACTCCACCAGAAGCACTGGAATATTGTTGCAAGCATACAGAGATTATACAAAAGGGAACTACCACCTCAGTCTGCCATTTCATTGGCACTGCCCCGATGTGCATGCAATGTTGGAAAGATGTATTAACAAAGACAGACCAGCAACACTCAGAGCCTTGAGGAACTCAGGACAGATCTGGTCCACCCATGTGACCATAGATATTTAACTATCACAACAATCAGTCCCGGTAATGGACAGGTCCTTCCACTGCCAAATGACATTACTGGTCGACAGCCAGCACCACACTTCCACTATACATGCCCAGTTCACAACAAACTGCTCCAGCTACTTTAGGTTAGATGGGTGCTTTTACTGGTCCATTCCAGAACATTTAACTGTATTAAATTAAACCTGTGGTGTGTTGCATCAGCAGCACCTCGTGGAAGGTGGAAGGTGAACAGTGAACGTCGATTTCAGTCCAGAATCTGTGGAATATTCCATTTTTTGCATATTATATATTTCTTATAAATCTGACCAATTTCCTAGCCCCTGCTGATGGAAAACAATTGAGAGAGTTGATCATCTTACAACTTCAATGCAAACTTCACTTGATAAAATTGCTCCACTGAAAAAGAAAGTAATCAATCAGAGGAAACTGGCTCCTTGGTTCAATTCTGAGTTACGTATTTTAAAGCAGGCATCTAGAAACCAGGAGAGAAAATGGCGCTCTACTAATGTTGAAGAATTTTATTTAACTTGGAAAGATAGTCTGCTAACATATAAGAAAGCTCTCCGTAACACTAGAACTTTATATTACTCATCTTTAATAGAGGAGAATAAAAATAACCCTAGGTTCCTGTTTAGTACTATTGCTAGACTAATTAAAAGTCCCATTTCTGTTGAACCATGTATCCCTACAACTATAAGTAGTGATGACTTCATGAGATTCTTTATAAATAAAATTATTTCAATTAGAGAGAAAATTCAAACCATCCTTCCTTCTACTATTTCTAGTCCCCTGTCAAATGAGGCAACTTGAAAAAAATTCACTAGAGTCTGATTTATGTTTGGACAGTTTTTGTCCTGTACTGGTCCTGTTAGACCTCAGTGCTGCATTTGATACAATTGATCACAATATTTTACTACAGAGGCTTGAATATGATATTGGGATTACAGGAACAGCTCTAAAATGGTTTAAATCATATCTATCTGATAGATTCCAGTTTGTAAATGTAAATAATAAATCTTCTTCATATACCAAAGTTAGTCATGGAGTTCCTCAGGGCTCAGTGCTTGGGCCAATACTCTTTACTTTATATATGCTTCCATTAGGTAAAATTATTAAACAGCATGGGATAAATTTTCATTGTTATGCTGATGACACACAATTATATTTGTACATTAAACCCAATGAATCCAATCAGCTACTTAGACTACAAGAATGTCTTAAAGACATAAAAACCTGAATGACCCTTAATTTTCTCCTGTTGAACACAGACAAGACTGAGGTTTTGGTTTTTGGACCTGAGCACAATCCAGAATAGAATTCAAAATCTTACTTCTAACCTACAAAGCTCTCAACAACCTGGCTCCATCTTATATTACAGATCTTACTGTTCCATATTTTCCTAACAGAGCACTTCGCTCTCAGACTGCAGGTTTACTTGTGGTTCCTAGAATTTACAAAAACAGAATGGGAGGCAGATCTTTCAGTTATCAGGCTCCTCTCTTGTGGAACCAACTTCCAGTCTCTGTCCATGAGGCTGACACATTATCCAGTTTTAAAACTCGGCTTAAGACTTTCCTTTTTGCTAAATCCTATAGTTAAGGTCGGCTTGGGTTTCCTGAGCTGTCCGTTAGTTATGCTGCTATAGGCTTAGACTGCTGGAGGACAAACTGACCACAATTTTCACTCTGCTACTGTCTTTACTTACTCTGCTCAACCTGTTTTGTATTTGTAATTATTTTTTCTATCCTTAACATGTTCTTTTGTCTTTCAGATACACCTGGACCTGTACCTGGACCTACCATTCTGTGTTCGTCTGTCTCTCCTTCCTGTCCTCTCAACCAGCCGGTCAAAGCAGATGGCCACTTATCCTGAGCCTGGTTCTGCTGGAGGTTTCTTCCTTTTAAATGGGAGTTTTTCCTTTCCACTGTTGCCACTGTGCTTGCTCAGGATGGGAGACTGCAACAAAGCCAAGATTCAACTTGTCTGCTGGATTCCTTAGATAGAGAACTTTACTAATTGGCTTTTATGTGAATGTTCCTGTAAAGTGCCCTTAGACAACTTTGTTGTGATTTGGCGCTATATAAATAAACTGAATTAAACTGAATTGATGCTGCCACCACCACGCTTCACTGTGGGGATATTGTTCTCAGTATGATAAAAAGTGTTAGGTTTGCACCAGACGTGGAGTAATCCTTGGTGACACACACAGCGCACACACCACAGAACCTTACGCCTTGTGTTTGTGGCAACTTCAATATAACTTTTGGCAAATTCCAAATGATTGGCCCTATTATGACTTTAATCATTGGCTTTTTTAAAATGAAATACAGATCGGTGCAACTTTGTTTCTGACCTGTGTGGCGAGTTCCTTGGTCTTCATACTGTCCCTTGCTTGGCGGTAGCCCTTACTACTTAAAGTTGTCACACTGCTGCTAATCCTGGGGGCTATCAGAACTGGTTTCTATATGCTGAGATTATTTGACACGTCAACTGCCCACAGGTAGATCTTATCTACCAAATAATGTGGCGTGTGAGAATAATGATTTTGACTTCACAGTAAAAGAGGTGAAAATATTTGAACAGAAAAAACAGAAAGATGACTTTTGCACCTTATTGTAGCTGTCTGCTCAATTCCAGCACATCAGCAGAAAATATTTGCTTTTACATGCAGCTCCCCTGGAACACATCTTTTTTCACGGCTGTAGTGTTATGCATGAAAAAAGGCTACAGTTCTTGCATCCTGAAGTCCTACCTTTAAGATTAACCTTGATAATGTTGTCTCCCACCAGGTAGCCGCAGGGCAACAGCTCAGGCACTTCAGAGGCATGCGAGCGAATCACTTCCCCCATCCTGTAGCAGACGATACTGTCTGAGCTCAGACCCAGGCTTGTCCCAGGATCCACTCGAAACACATACTCCTGCAGGGAGGGGCACAGGGCAAGATGGTCAGTCAAACTAATGACCAAGAGAGTGTAACTAAATGTTTTAAGGAATGTTTATGATTTATCTGTTAATTCTTTTGGATCACGAGAAGAAAAGATGGGTTGAACATTTTATTTAACTCATTTTGTGGAAATATATGTAAAATGTATGAATATGTGTAATATATAATATGAAGATACTGAATCTATTGATGTTTAAAGGCTGAACAGATATATATGCCACCTCATGACAACTTCTGTGAAATGTTGGTTTGGGATTCCTTTAGACCCTCCAGTTTTATCAAAAATCTGTAGCCAATATCTCATTGCGTTGAGATTGAAGACAAATATCGACAGTAGGGGCTGAAAAGACAAATCGACTAGTCGACTCTAGGGCATCTCACGAGTTTTTATATTTCACGTTGACTAGTCACCCCCCCTCCCCATTGTTCCCAACCCTATTCCACCCAATCCACATGATGGATTAAATCAAATAAAATTAAAAACAGCAGCATTTTTGCAGCTTGATAATAGTTTTGCTTTTCCTTTGACTTATTTGCAGCATGATAAATGGTAGGAGCATAAATATACGCCCCATGTTTTGTTGTTCTTTTTTTTTGTAAATAATAAATGACGTTTTTTTTTCTATTTTTTTTTTTTGCAAATATGATATAGCATTTTGAGTTCCTATGACGTCATCGACTAGTCAAAGTTAACTCGACTTGTATCATGTTAAAGTCGACTTTTAAAAATCTGTAGTCGTTTAACCCCTAATTGACAGACATTTGCAAAAAAACAAACAAACAAACAAACAAAAAAGGACTTAATTGTTCTATGAAACTACTTGAAGTTGTTTGCTAACCTCCAGTAAACATGAACGAAGTATGAGAAGCTGTATAATCATTTAAAGTGAATGAATGAGCAGAAGACAGCTCTGGGAACATAAATATCTGAGCACGAGCTTTCTGACCATTTCACTGCTGAGGCCCTGGCAAGATGACAAAGGTCTCCATCATCATCATCAAGGTGAAAAAGAAAAAAAAAAGTCAGCAAACGAGTTAGTAGCAAGCCGGTGTAGCCGCCACCATCAGTCTACATCATTCTAAAGGGGATATGCTCAAACATCCATCCATCCATCCATCCATCCATCCAACCATCTTCCGCTTGTTCTGATGTCGTCTCTCGGGGGCAGCAGCTTGAGCAGGGAAGTCCAGACCTCTCTTTGCACAGCCACCAGTGGGCGGCTGTAGCTGAGTGGTTAGAGCAGTCGTCCTCCAATGCAAGAGATGGGGGTTCGAATCCACCAGCAGTCACATGCCGAAGTGTCCATGGGCAAGACACTGAACCCCTCATCGCCGCCGATGTGTGTCCCATCAGTGTATGAATGTGATAAAGCTCTGATTAGTCTCTTTAGAATGATTTGTTCAATTAGCTTTGTAGAGATCTAAGAGTGCTGTATGAATGGGTAAATGAGGCACAGATTGTAGTGTAAAGCGCTTTGAGTATCTTGAAATAAGATAGAAAGGCGCTATATAACTACAGTCCATTTACCATTTACCTCTTCCAGCTCTTCAGACGCTCAGATGGCCTCAGATGGGTCTTCCCCAGGGTCTCCTTGCAGTCAGACATGCTAGAAGCACCTCCCTAGGGAGGTGTCCAGGGAGCATCCTTACCAGATGAACCACCTCAACTGGCTCCTCTCGATGCAGAGGAGCAGTGGTTCTACTCTGAGTCTCTCCTGATAACTGAACTTCTCACCCTATCTCTAAGGGAGAGTCCAGCTACCCTGCGGAGGAAACTCATTTCAACTGCCTGTATCCACAATCTCATTCTTTCAGTCACTACCCAAATTTCATGACCGTAGGTGAGGGCCATATGATCAAACTGACTGTGGTTAAAAGTCTTCCACCAAGGGTCATTGATGAACCCAGGTGGGTATGATGAGGGAAGACATCAGTAATGGAATAATCAACTCGACTTAGAATACAGGTTTTCTTGGTGTGTATATAAAAATAGACCATAACTTTCACCGACTGGCAGCACAAAATGCAGCCACATGGCCCACTGCTTGCAAACACCCAAAATTCATTGATTGCCAAAGAAAATTGTCCCATTTTCTTACAATTCTGAGTCCAACTAGTCAGTTAGCCTCCAACAGTTGTGGCCCTCTATCTGGCTTTACAGGGGATTAAAAAGAGTGTAAGTATAAGTTTATGTAAGTATACATGTCTCTCTGATAAGGATGTGATAGAATGTCAACCCAACCAGGGTAGACCTTGTTCATGGTGTCTTAGTATGGTTCTAACATGAACGGAAAACAACAACAAAAAAAAAGGAAGAAAAAGAGAACCAAGAGTACAGCATACGGCACATTATACGCCCATCAACAAACTATTATACAGCAATCTATAGTAATGATCCGAACAAGCAAAGACCTTGTATACCCTTCAACCTTAATTTGTGATCTAGGTCTTGCAGCTGGGGTGATGAAAACGTATGTGACATGCTGTCTAGTGGTGGTACACTTGTGTATAGTATAGTTTATTGATACTGAGTGTGTCAGAGCAAAGAACTTGTATGATTTTTGACTTGATTTGTGACCTTGATAAATCTGGGTGGATGTGTAGGCTACACTTCGTCTAGCGATGGTGCGTATGTGTAGGAAGTTTTTTTTTTTATTATCTTGAGTGAAAAGAATAGAGAGTATACCATAATACCTCCATTTTTCAGTGAGTCGCAGGTTTACAGAAAACATGTGAATATAAATATCTTTATAATGAGTATTTTTTAAAGTCTGAAACATTTTAGCATGAAAAGAAACACAGCCCACAGATAAACCAGGTGACAAAAAGAGGAAAACAGCAAAAATAACTTTTTGATGTATTTATAGAGTATATTTTATAGTTGATAGAGGTTTACTTTCAGTTCTGCAGTTGATTCCAGAAGAAAAGAAAACCGCACCCAAGCTGTTTATTTTGATAAATGTTTCTAATAATACATCTGTACCTCATAAACATGACTCAATATCCTATTAGTAAGGACTCAATTACTTTTGGTACATTTCCTGAGCTCTGCTGCTGTGAGTGCTGACTCATGTGGTTTGTTTTATTTCAGTCTGGAATGAATGTGTACAATCACTGTACTACAGGGCAACACATTTTGTTTTACAGTCTGGGTACTACAGTAGTCCCTCGTTTATTGCAGAGTTTAGGGGCCACACCTCACCGCGATAAGTGACAAATCGCGAAGTAAAAAATGTTAAAATGTCAAATGTCAAAAAATGTTTTGTGACAGAGAGAGGGGTTATAATTTAAAAGGAGAAGGAAATTTAACAAACAATGTATCAGAACAACCAAAAAGAGTTTTTGTATATCGGTGTGTGGAGTAGATCTATGGAATGATTTCAATGATGAGCTCAAACAAAGTTCAAATATAAGCCAGCTTAAAAAACAGTATAAAAATGAGCTTATTGAAAAATATGTTGTATAGGATGGGTGTTTCAAAGACCAAAAATGCTATTGTTGATATTAATAATGTGTAAATAATTGTACATTCAATGACGAGAATGTGAGGTTTAAGCGTCATTGAATGTGGGAGTATTATAAGGGTTATTTGGTGTGGGGAGACTATAATGATTGTATATTGATGTGTATGACAGGGGCAGGAAATCATAAGATCTTTATCTTCTACCTGCTCCTTTTCGAACAAATTGTGCAAAATTGCGGGTCAAATGTCATGACTATTTGTTATTATTATTATTATTTTCTCTTTCTTTGTTTTTACTTTTTATTGACTGTTTGAATAAATATATAAATAAATAAAGAGCACAGAATGTCATGAATTCAGCTCTCTGCCACCTGCCAGTGCTCTCGGCCACGCCCACTTCTCCGCTGCAGAGCGGAGATCGACATGATGCAGGAGGGATCTTCTCCCTGCACCTGTGGGCTGCATACAGATGCAGCAGGTGTTAAACAATTTTAAATAAAAATTCCATGCCGCTCGTGTGGCTCATCCATCAATCAATCGTGTGTCATGTCCAATCTTACTTTGAAAATACGCGAAAGAGTGAGTCCGCGAAAGTCAAAACGCGAAGTAGCGAGGGACTACTGTACAACAGAACTGACAAAACTAAACAGCACAGTTTCATAACGGGTCTGCAGTGGAACGCATCTACTTACTTTGAAGAGGCGCCGGATGACCCCATCCAGGAGGTCCCACTTGGTCTTCCCACTCACTCCTATAGAGCCAATCAGGAAGTCTTGGCCTTTTGTGCCCTGAGAAGGTGTCCGACTAGTTAAAGTGGGAGTCAGATGTAAAATACATTTTTGTGATTTTCACTGGAAGAATTTTCCTTCACAGACCTTGGTGATGTTTGGTCCACTGCTAATCCTGACCGTTATCCGCACGCTCCGGCTTTCTTTACGCAAATTTCCCTCGTAGCTCTCATCTAGCAGAATATCTACGACAATAAACAACAGAAGTAAAATTCTCGTTTACAAACAACTCTTTGTGAGAATGGCAGATACCACCTGGAAATAGACAGCTCCCTGACTGCGACCACACCAAAGTTTAGCTCAAAAGCTGTACAATACATTGATTTATAATAATTTGTGTATTTGCAAAGTTTGCTTAGCTTTGGCAGCCATCTTGAATCAGGTTTACTCTAAAAGTTAATCAGTTGTAGATGCACATCTAATGCACCACATGCACACAATGTACATCTTTCCTCTGAGTTTCATTATAATCCAGCAGTTCAAGAGATATTTTGCTAACAGACAGTTCATGCTGTTTTACAAAAAGATCTTGTGCAATCTGTTAGCACTTAGAATATGTGTTGGGAATGAGGCTTGGCTACTATCACACCAAACTTTAGTTTAGTTTCTGTACAATTAAACAAATTATGGACACGTTTGCATTTACGAATACCAGTTGACCACGGTGGCCATCTTGAAATGAGTTGACTCCATGTTTTAATCAGTTGTAGATGTGCACCCAATGGTTACCTTTTCATTAAGCTCTGTTCAGTAATTCATGAAATATTTTACTGACAAATGAATATAAGCATGTGCGCACGCACGCACGCACACACACAATCAAAAACATAATGACCTGCCATTCACCTTTGAGCAGTGACACAGTGAGTGTAGTCATAAATAAGCAGGAGCACCGAGCTCGCAGCACTATTGTTGTAGTTTGGTCACTGAACTCACCAGACATGATCGTGTCTGTGATGTTGAGGTTATTGAGGGACAGCCCGAGTGACTGACGCGAGGAGGACGAGGACGTGCTGGAGGTCTCAGACGGCGGCCGGGCTGTCTTGACGGGAGTGGCTGTAGGGGTGGCGTTACCGCTGGACTTCAGACGATCGTTTTCGGCTTTCAGGGTCTCAATCTCGTTCTGCGTATTGAGGAGAAAAACAAATCCAAATCTAATTAGAGACATTTAGTTTTCTGTAAAAATACTGTGTGAATGCTGAACACTTAATGACTTTGCTAAAGAAATTAAAACTGAGTTGTTAAAGCAAAACACAAGCAAAAAGCTAAAAGAAGTAGTAGGCTAGCTATAAACTCAAAAAAGCAGAATGGCTAAAATAAACAGTGGACTACTTACAAACTAAAAAGCAAAACAATAGCTAAAAGCTAAAAAAAAACCCAGTAGGATAGCTATAAACAAAAAGATGCAGAATAACTCAAACCTAAAAGAAGCAGTAGGCTAACTATAAACAAAATTAAGTACAATAGCTAAAAGAAGCAGTAGGCTATAGTTATTAAAAAGAAGTAGAACACTAGCTAAAAGCTAAAAGAAACAGCAGGCTATATATAAACTAAAAGAAGCAGAACAATAGCTAAAAGCTAAAAGAAACAGCAGGCTAGCTATAAACTAAAAAAGCAGAATAGCTAAAAGCTAAACGAAGCAGTGGGATGGCTATAAACTAAGAAGTAGAATAGTTAAAAGCTAAAAGAAGCAGTCTATAAATTAAATATGCAGAATGGCTAAAAGCTAAAAGAAGTAGTCTATAAACAAAAAGAAGCAGAATAGCTAAAAGCTAAAAGAAGCAGTAGGCTATAGTTATAAACTAAAAGAAGCAGAACAATAGCTACAAGCTACAAGAAGCAGTATACTAGTTATAAA